TCGGAGTCTCCCTTGAACAGCACATCCACTATTTCATCATCAGTCAAAGGTTTACCTAAAAATACAAAGGGGCAATGCGTGAAAAAACGCGGAACAGGACCGGCCATAGTCAGCACTGAGAGCCACAGTATCAAATGTGATACCCTCACAAAAGGCTTCGCCAAAAGGAAAGGTAATGGAGCTCATATAATGTAAAACTAGATATCTACCCCGCAGTCCCTCCTGCACCAGTCGTGCAAAATTTTACGATTAGCCAAAGCCAAAGGAGATGCCAAATCCTCTCGTTCTAAGCGGGAGTAGTTTTTCTCCGCTTTCGACAATGTCCGGGAACGAAACCCAACAGGTTGTACGTCACCTCCAGAATGATGAGAAAGGACAGCTCCAATTCCCCGTGGTGAAGCGTCACATTCAAGAGCCAGGGGTTTTGTAGGGTAATAGTGAGTTAACATGTTGGACTAAATCAAAGCTGCTTTTGCTATGTGAAAGGACCGGTCTTATATTGTCCGCAGTACCATTTGCGTCCCTTTTGTAATAAAGCATACAGGGGGAGGGGGGGGGGGGGGGGTAACAGTAGTGCCATCTTGGACACCAACCGGTTATAGTAGGTTATGAGGCCCAGAAACGAGCGTAGCTCGCTGACGTTCGTTGATGCTCGCGCATCCTTGAGCCCTTTCAGGTTCTTGCCAATTGGATGTAGCCCCTTACTGTCAATACTGTGTCCCAGGTAGACGACTTCTGCTTTTCAGAAGCAGCACTACTCCCTGTTCAGCTTGACTCCGTTATCGCGGAGCACCTGCAAGACCTGACGAAGTCTTTAACTGCCGTCCCTGTTCTTCTCCGCGACCAGCACATCATCCAGATACGCTTGTCCTCCTCATATGCCTTGCAGCAGAGTTTCCATCCTCCTCTGGAAAATGGAAGGGGCTGACGCCACGCCAAATGGTAGACGGTTGTAAAAGAACAATTCTTTGTGCGTGCTCAATTCTGTCAGCCTCCTCGACTCCTCGTTTAGGGGAACGAGGTTGTAAGCTTCCCGAAGGTCCAGCGTTCTGAAGCAGCCGCCACACTTCAACGAAGCAAAAATGTCATCCTTCAGTGGTAAAGGGCACTGCTCTGTCGGACATGCCTTGTTTAAAGAGAGCTTAAAAACACCGCACAGCCTTCGATTAGTTAAGACCGATTCCTGGTTGAAATAGTTCTTGGTATTCTCCCGAGACCTCATCAAAGTATCCACGTTCAGACTCCAAAGACAATAGATGTGCTGGAAGAAGGCTGAACGCTCGAATAACGTCGTGGCCAGCTAGACTTGGTCCGTTCCATCCTAAGGATGTTAGCTCCGCGTTCACTTTACGTCCTTTGTAACGGACCTTCACGCTCAACTTTCTGATGATGGGAACTTTGCCAAGGTAGCATGAGAAGCTCAATGGGGTGTGTTGCAAACGAGCCCAGCTTGCTTTGTTCTCTTCGTATGCTCTTTTTCGAAATGACGCAGACCGGGGAACCTGTGTTCAGTTCAGGCTTGTACCGTACGCATTACAAGTAATCAAATTACTTGTAATCGATTACTTTTTGGAGTAGTTTTGTAATCAGTTGATTACTTTTATTAGGCAGTAATCACAAGAGTAATCTGATTATTTTTGAGGTAATAAAATTACTTGTAACCGTTACAATATGTCCACGGGACCCCCCCCCCCCCCCCCGGGACACGCCTTTTTTTTATGAAATGACAAAAATAAAACTTCCTTTTTTTTTAAAGAAAGATTTTTGCGGAGCTGTTGGGAACGGGACAATCCCTTTCTTTGGGGACACGGCCCATTCTTCACATGTCGATTCGTCATAGGGCAACTGGTAACAGGCCCGTTCGTCACAGCGGAATATTCGTCATAGGATGATTCGTCACGCTGGAATGTGAAATGTCCGTTTTTTTTTTATTGTTTTTTTCGAGCTGGGACTGGAAGTGGGAAGCCCCAGGAAAGCCACAGTGCGTGACAAAAGCCATTCAGGGCGAAGTTTGAGGAAGCAGAATGTAGCTTTGTGAGCCCTTCGTTCAAACTAGCCCCCTCATGCACACACACACAGAAATAAAAAAAAATCCTGCTTAGGGTACCTACTCGCAGCCCGGAGAATCAGAACCGAAGAATGGCTAAAGCGGATGCAAAACATAACAAAGGCAGTTGAAATATTTCCCCATTTCCCCTACGTGGTCTTTGTGACAAGCAATGTTTCGAGTTGAGAAGTGGTCGGGGCGATCTCTTCCGCTAACGGATACTACACATGGTCCGTTTCAAATCCTGGAGCTGCTGCTCTTTTGTATAACATGCGAGCTCATCCACATGTGAATAATAAAATGAGCGACGCAAACTTTGAGCGACTACCCTTGCTCAAGCTTAACAAGATCTAAAACCCCCTCCGCTCCCCCCCCCCCCCCCCCACACACACACACTGGCGAACGCCCAAATTATTAAACGTCTTCAAACGAATTCTATGCTTGTGTCCGCATTGTGAAGGTGCAACGACCACGAAGAGGGAGCCAGTTTTTCTTCTTCAATACTTGTGCAAATGTGAAATATAGGTTTGAAGTAGTTCGTTGTTATGAGCTCTAAAGATGTATCTTCACACAATAAAGTAATCGGAAAAGTAACGATTACTTCTTTAAGTAATGTCCAATTACTTTTGCCGTCGAGTAATCAATTAATCTAATCGAATACTTTTTATCCAAGAGTAATAGTAATTGTAATCGATTATTTTTTTTAATAACGTGTAAAAGACTGGTTCAGTTCCATGAGCAGGTCAACAGCACCTCACGTGAACAGCCGCTCGACTGGCGCAATCAGGTTGATCGTGCTTTCCTGATGCGGTCGCGAAAAGATGATATCAATACCGCCGACGTCATTAGACTGTTCCAGAAGAGGCGTTGGCCTCTCCAGCCGTTGTTGACTTACGTGAACTGCGCTGTGCAACAAGTATAACCTTGCCACAGCCAAAACTTGTCTTTTTCCGAATCTCGTTGTCACTGGGTAGTTGTCAGGCTCTACCACAACGGTTTTAAAGATTTAATCTTCTCACCTTCCCTTGAACCTCGCTTGGAGCTTGGATTTTAGAAGCTGGGCTCCCTTTCGCTGTCATATTCTGTAGTCCCCCCTCTGACATCACCATCCGAGTGGCGTCTTTCGAGGCCGCCTCTCTACCAGCTGCCATACCCACTGCCGAATCCACCGTCAGGTCCCGGCGTGGCAATAAAGTGTGTTGCAGCTTCTCGTTGTGCAGCCCACAAACAATGCGGTCACGCAACATGCGGTCGGGCAGCAACCCAAAATTGCCATTGTCCGCGGTGCGACGTAAATTCACCAGGAAATTGTGAACTGTCTCATTACGTCCTTGTCAACGATTGTAGAAACAAATGCTTTCTGCCATCTCATTTGGCTTAGGTGTGAAGTAACTATCCAAGTGCTTGACAGACTCGTTTTAGGTGAGCTCAGACACTTTTGCAGGTATACAACTTGCGCATAACACGCAGATAACCTTCATTACTTGTTCCGAGACTAGAAGATCGCGCCTCTGAGCAGCTTCGACTATAATAAGATACGATTCCCACCGGCCTGCGACATTGTCGAAGGAAGGAACGATGTACGCCATGCGCAAGGAGCTGAGCAGTGGTGGCCGGCCGCTCAGGGGACCGTTTTATGCGTGGTTGTCCGTGGTCGTCGCCAATGTAGCAGAGTTCTAACCGATTCGATGGTGTGGCGATATGTAACACTGCTAATCTGGAACCAGGCGAAATAACGTGTTTATTCTATGATATCGGAATTGGGAAAAGCGCTCTCGCCGCCAGAAGAACGAATGTCGTCGTCGTCGTCTGGTCACAGTTTCTAGCAATCAGCAAGTTGATAGTCAGCGCCTTGTCCTTTGTGTTTTCTCCTCTGTGTCCTTGTGTTTCGCGTTATTTTTCACAGTGAAACCGTAGAGTTAAAGTAAATATTAAAATTACGGATTCCTAAAATAATTAATTTCCTAATTATACTTAACGCTAATGAGTTTAATTACTGGAGCTTTTGGGACAACCCACTACATCATCGACGTTTTGTTTGCACTATGCGTTGTTTTTGGAAAAGCGGGCGAAATCGCGCCTCTAAAAACACCCTGTCTTTAGTGCGTTGAGGACTTATCAGCGGAAAAAGATCTAGCTGCACAGTTTGTGATATCGTGAAATTCGCTGGAGATGCACCTTTAAGCATAAATGACCAGTTGACACATTACTCTTTATCTCGTGATTTCAAGTAACTACTACGTGACTATACATTTACTGATACGGTAACATATTATGTATTTATTTTTAGAATTCACACATCCCAATTATAACAATCATTTGCAATAATAAGAGAAGATTCAACTGTGTACATTCTTTTTTTTCAGTCATGGGATATCTGGCCATAGTTCTTCTACTAGCGTGCATTGTGTCAAGTTGTAAGTTTCTATTTTTTTATTGACATACAGTGTATCATGAAGCGTAATCTGGAGTAACTTTTCGACGTCGAGATACCAAGCACATATAATGCACTTGTGAATTATTAAGGATGCTGCGTTTAAGTAGACTCCATTTATGATTCGATAACAGTATCCGATACTTTCATGAAATTAGGAGAGCGTATTGGTTAAACATCTTGGTGTGCGAACGCAAAAGCGGACAAGGGACACAAAAACACGTCAGACACGGACAGCGTTCAACTCGCAGCAAGTTCATTCTCTCTTCAGGCGTGCATAGCCCGCGTGACTTTAAAAGCGCCCTTGTCGGCTCAAGGCCAAGCTCATCCCTCTCTACCCTGACCGAGGCTCCCTATCTAATTCTAGAGGAACCCCTGGTCCTTTCTGCTCAAATTAAGCGATTTGTGAGTCACATTGTTGTCGTTTCTCTGCATGAGGAAAGACTCGACCTCTTCGCGTCCCAGCCGGTCAGGGTACATTCTGATAGCCGCCGCTTCCTTAAAGATGGGCTTGCATCTCTAGCAGCTATTCCAATACGCTTTTAGGAGTGGTTCTCCTGTTACTGAAATCTTACATTTTTGTTCTTTTAATCTATCGTTTAGACAACGCACTCTCTGCCCGATATAAATCTTGCCGCAAGAGAGTGCAATAGAGTATACTACCTCCTCTTCGCAATTGACAAATATTTTTTTGTGTTCCTTTCGCAATTCTTTGCTAAGCTATCTTCTCCAATAACGTTGCGTATAATTTTTGAAAGTTTGTTCTTAGATGTGAGGAGTGTTTTGCAATCATCTAACAACAGTCCTTTAATGTGGCGAGAAACCCCTCGAGTGCACGGAATGGTAAGAAATCTCTTGGGGTCTTTCTGCTTGCTTTTCACTTTCCTTGTTTGCTAATAGCCGAGAAGCCACCATGTTTACTCGGTCTGAGGGGTACCCTGTGCTCCCTAGTATCTGGGCTTAGTTCTTTAGGCTGTCCTCCCTATAGAGAGGACATGACTTTATCAGTGATGATGAGACGATCAACTTAATTCCTCTCTAAGTGGTCTTTGAATGCGCGTTTTGAACGAAAATAAGTTTTTTTTTCTGTGTTCGTAGATCCATGATGTATCTGTTTTTTTTTTTATTTTTAGATGTAGGAGTTGTAGTTTTTCGTTTTCTTTGTCGTCATTGAAGTGTAATCCCAACAAATACCCCTTAAAACATGATGTTGGGCTTTCTTTCTGAATTTCATTTCTGTGCATTACGAGGTGATCATATACGAAACGAAAAATATATAAGGTTTCCTAGTTAAAGCAGCGAGTCATTTTTGATTTGACTACCACATCTACCACGCTCAAATAAAGTTTACTCAGAACAGGAGCGACCTCGGACACAATGCACACTCCGGTTGTTTGATTGTAGACGTTGCCTTGAAATTCTACGAGTAGCGACTAAAGGTACAACCTTAGTAGCTGTAGAAAAACTCTAATGTTTATCCCCGCTTCATTCTGAAATCTTACAAGTCCTTGCTTAATGACGCAGATTCAACTCTTTCAATCATAGTTTTTGTGTCAAACGAGACGTACGAATTTTCTATGTCGAGTGAGAACACTGCCATTCGTTTGTGGTGAAGTGTGCCCAAAGTTTTCAGGCAATCTCAAGAGTCTCAGATACTGAAGGGCTGATAAACGTTCAGGGTCTTTAGTTGTTGTTGAAGGAATGTACCGTTTAAAACTTGTTGTTGGCCTAGTTGGTTCATGACGCAGTCTAGTTGGTTCATGATGCGATTGTCCGTGTCTACTCGCTTGTGACTGTCCCCTGTCTCGCGCAAAAAAACCTCTAGACTGCAATGTACCTTTTGCTACGTCCCTATTTCGTATACTATGCACCTGAACGGCTTCCCTGGCTTATGAGTTTTAATTTTGAAAAATACCGCTAGGTATTTTTCAAAATTCTTTCCCTTTCTTATAGATGCACAAACTGACTCCAATTCGTTATTTTCCAGTACTTCGCACACCTTCTCCTTAAGCTCTGAAAAAAAAAGTCAGTCGTTTTTTAGAAAAAAAAAACATTTTACCGCTCTTATTGATTCTTCATGAAACGTTCCAGCATTCAAAACTATTAAGTCTCCTTCCTTGTCTGATTCCACTAAGAGCAGATCGAACGACTCTAGCTCACGGGTAGCGTTGAGGGGCTCCCTTCCATTTTCATCACAAATCCCGCCTTGCAACTTAAGCGCACCGCTGAAGACAAGAATTGGTCCCCCTGGGTCTTGTCACCATGACTGATGCGCGATGAAGAGTCGCCACCATGTCGACTCGAGACAGTCCCACGGCTGGGTTTAACTTCGGTCCTTGGTTGATAACTGTCGCAGTTTGGGGTGTCAGATGTTTGTGGGATAAGTTCAGAAATCTAGGCCCTTGAGGTTTCCCCAACATTGCCTGCTGTACTGTGGGGTGGTAGTTGTGTTTTTTAAAATATTTTCCATGCTGATTCGAAAAACGAAAACGATCTGGTTCTCAAAAATGCATGCCATTTTGTGCGTTTAAAAGACCCTATAATGCACATAAATCAAAGTCAGAAAAAAAAACACGTAACATCATGCTATCAGGTGCATTCGTTGGGGTTACACTTTACTAAGGACGCAGGAAACGAACAAGAACTACAGTTCCTAGATCTAAATATAAAATGCGAAGAAACAGAGACATGCTGGACTTATGAGAAGAGGACAAATAAATCTTTACTTCTGTTTAAAAGCATGCATTCAAAGAGAGTTTAAAAAGGAGCTTCTCATCGTCACTGATAAAGTCATATCCTCCCTAAAGGGCGGGACATCGAACTATAGGGGGCGCTATGACCCCTTTGTTGTCCCCACTCTCGGTGTTTACTCAACACAAAGCCTGCGCACATGCCCATAGGCCTTAAAGACATGTCCATGTCATCTTCTAGAATAGAGCTCGGTTTACTGATTAATGTAAAAGAATACTAACAATCGACGAAGCGACGTTAAGTGCCGGATCTATCCTCAGAGAATGCGAGCTTGACCCACTTCGGCTTTTGTGCTGAGCTGGGATCGTGCGTGCTGCATTGTTCATGCAGGTCGGAGCGGAAACAAAGGAGCCCCTCCTCCCCCTCACCGGAGAACACGAACTCCAGCCGAACGCTGACACCGCGTTCGGTTATGTCGCCTGAGCGCTGAATCATTGTATTTGTCGCCCCCATTCCTGTAGTTCTAAAGTTAACCGCTTGGGGCGTCACGGTCGCTACTCCCCCCCAATAGGGAGGACACCCTAAAGAACTAAGCCCAGCGACTAGGAAGCACAGGGTAACCGCAGACCGAGTAAAAATGGTGGCCTCAAGGCACGTTGCAAACAAGAAAAGTGAAAATTAAACAGAAATACTCAAGAGATTTATTATCATTTCGTACACTCGCGGGTTCTCTCCCCACTTCAAAAAAGTGTTTTCACATTAATGCAACACACTCTTCACGTGCAAGTACAAACTTTCAGAAATTATACAGAAAGTTATGGAAGAAGATTACCTAGAAAAGGAATGAAAAAAAAACACAAATGAGAACTTGTTAAATGCGAGGAGAAGGTAGTACACCAAATTCCAGTGTCTAGAGGCAAAAGACTTACATCGAGCAGACAGGACGTTGTCTAAACGATAGATTAAAAGAACACGCATATAAACTTTCAGTGACAGGAAAAACACACCTAAAAGCGCTTCTGAATAGCTGCGAGGCATGCAAACCCATCTTTAACAAAGCGGCGGCTATAAAAAAGCACCCTGAGCGCCTGGGACGGCAAGTGGTCGAGTCTATCCTCATGCAGAGAAATGACAACAATGTGACTCACAAATCGCTGAATTTGAGCAGAAAGGAGCAAGGGTTTCTCGAGAACTAGATAGGGAGCCTCGGTCGGGGGATAGAGGGATGAGCATGGCCTTGAGCCGGCAGGGGCGCTGTCAAGATCACGGGGCCTATGTACGCTCGGAGAGGATAAACTTGTTTCGAGTTGAACGCTGTTCATGTCTGACGTGTTTTTGCGTGACCCGTGTCTCCTTTCGCGTTCGCCTGCCAGGATCCGATACTTTGTTTTTGCCTTTGCGTAAGCGGGAAATTTTTTTCAAATATTGTTATCGAAGCTTCTCTGGAACATTTTAAAACATATAGCCATGAAAACTGCTTTAAACAGTACATAGAAACATTGACAGTGGACCTCATCTCCAAAGTCCCAGAATGCATAAAACGCAGTACTTGAAGATAGATTGTTTAACTTTCTATAGAGGGCATTATACCGTCGTTTCAAGGAGTAAAGAACTTTTATTTCTATAAATTTCCACGCTAGATCTGAAAGAAAAACTGAGTACAAAGGTCACGTGACGTCAATTTTCCCGCTAAGTTCAGGGGGAGACTGATCTCAAGACATCAGGTCAGGTGACATCGATTTTCCTGCTAAGTAACGGAAAATGCCCGACCGAAGGGACAGACTAAATTTTAGGATTGGGGTGTTTTGTTAGATCTCAATTTATGCTTTCATGAGCAGTCTAGCTTTTCATAGTAATAACTGCGAGAGACTACTCATTGCTGACCATTGCTGATTGTGCAACATTGGGAAGACTCAATTTTTTGTATCTCCTTTTAAGCAACGCCTTTGAAATGAAGCAAAACAAGTACATGAATTTTTCCTAGGCAAGAGCAAGAAGACATAACCACTGCAATACATTAACCGAATACTCTTTCAATAATAATATTTTACGTACTCTTTGTTTCCTTCAACTATAAGCGATTAGAACAGCCTTGATCCGCAATTTTTAACTACACCAATGGCGATGCGTTCATTCAAGCTCTTGAACAAGACATTCTCAGTAAATTCAGGAGTTAGTTCTTTCTTTTATGGTCTGCGTTGTGGTTTGAATATGGATGAAAGTGACGCTTTCCAAAAAGAATACTGTTTTTCACGCGCCTCAAAAATGTTGTGTGTTGTTTTTATCTGTACCATACCTGCTATAATGCCCTAATGGGCTTTGGCAGTATTTTGAAAATAAATAAATTAATTAATTAAACCACTATTTGGACGATAAGTTAACTGCAGGCGTCTCAGAATTGAATGTTCGCCAGCACAATTTCCATCAATGTCAAAGATACAGGCTGAAACCGGATCATTCCTTGAAACGTTGTGATTGTCAGAAAAAAAATACAAATGCTTCTTTGTAACAGACACCATTTAGTTCTATCTATGAGTAGGACTCGCTTGTCGTCATTATCTTATTGAAACATTTGAAAATCCTGTATAGATTTTGAGTGAAATGACGGCCAATACTCCAACGTTGGCATCTGGTCTCAGTAGCTAAAACTATATTTGGGTGGCAAGTGCAGACAGCGTCCGACCACGCGTATAGTTTTTTTTTTTTTTTTTTTGTCTTCCTTTATGGTGTAAAACACGCGGTTTTTATTTCCTCGTGAACACGTAGCGCTTTTTATAAACTTCTGCTTCGAGTGCAGTCGTTTTGTTAATACTTTTGAAACTGTGTTGCCGGCACCTCTGAACATAAAATATTTTGTTTTTCGAAAGTTTTTGCACAGGTAGTGTACCACTTTACTGCCTCAAATTCTGAGTTCTTCTTTTTTGCGTCTTCAGGTGATAATCTTCCATTTAATCCTTATCCTGGTAAGTGTCATTCAAGCTCATCTACACCTTTCGTCTATGTCTAATATTCGTCACACATAAATTAAGCACCACAGCGCCATGGTGTTAAGAAACTTCAATAGTGTAGAAGTACAATTTATCCCAAACCTTAATGTTCCGGACTAGAAATACAGCAAAAGATAATCTGGCACGTAAATATAAACCGTTTTACTGAAAGAAGGCGAAAGAAAAAAGGGAAAGGGCTACCGGAGCTTTCTCCCTTGCTGGTTGTGTAGAAAGAGTGAAAGTCCCGGATGAGACGCTTGGCCGGTGTTGGGAGTCTGCAGCGCCCGAACATCGTTCACGCTTTCTTTTCTGTTTTAAACTCGCAAACTTAATTAGAACCACGGCCTTTAATGGCGACAGTTTCCCGGTCATCGACACACCGTTCCTCGGTCATAGTATGGACGAATAACGACAGAAAGCGTCGAATACTGTCCGAGGACCTATTCAGCTTGCAAGGGATCCGGCAAGGCAAGAGCGGCTGCAATGTCTTTAAGCTCCATCGCTTTCCACGTGACCCTGGTCTCCGGCGGCAGTGGATTGCGTCCGTAAACCGAAAGCACGTTCCCTGGACGGCATTCTTTCGACTGTGCTTGGAACACTTTGTGAATGAAGCGCGCACCGAACGCTGTGCCGCCGATGAGCATGGGGTACACTCGCAAGGTGCGTGCGAGTTTTCTCGTGACAATTGCTGTTTCAGCTTGTAAATTTTATTACTGAAGTTA